TTCAGAGGGCTCTGGTACTACAACAAACTACAGTCTCCAGAATTCCATAGCATTGAGACATTGCAGTCAACCTGGATTACTTCTGCAGTGCAGATGCAGCCAACTAAACATCTTGAATGTAAGGCCTTTGTGATATGATCATAAGCTTTACACAATAAAGTGCAGGTTACTTATGAAGATGTCAACTCTAGCTAATGTGTCAGTTATGGAAATATTGAGAGCCAGCATGGCATAGTGGTTTGAGCATTGAAAGCAGAGTTCAGATCCCAGCTGGGCCATAGAAACCCATTGGGTGACCTTGGGCAAGTCACACTTTCTCAGGCTTGGAGAATGGCAATAGCAAGCCTTCTCTTAACAAATCTTGCCAAGAAAGCCTTAGGGTAGCCGTAAGCTGGAAATAACTTGAAGGCACACAACAACAACAACAACAACTGGAAATACTATATTTTCTGGCATTCAAGTGACAGATGTTTTCTGCCATGACAAGAACACATCATTAAGCTGTATCAAATGAATAAATCATATCCCTTCTCTAGAAAAAATACAAGCTCAAGAGTGTGACTTTGGGCAAGTCACACTCTCTCAGCCTCAGAGATGGCAATGGCAAACCCTCTCTGAAGAAACTTGCCAAGAAAATCCTGTGATAGATTTGCCTTAGGGTCACCATAAGTCAGAAATGACTTGAAAGCACACACAACAACATAAGATGGCAAAATCAAGGTTAACTTTTTTGGAACACTCACACATATTTTAGATATTTTCAAGCCATGGATGGTTGAATCTGTGGATACAGAGGGCCGACAGTACTACCCTTAAAGCTGAAGATCCAATTTGGGATCCTTTCCCCCAGCACCTGCAGAAAGTACTTCCCCACCGAAACAGGATGTGGTTTGTTGCTCTTTTAGGAAAAAAAACACCTGTCAATAATAATAATAATCAAAAGATAAAAAATTGAGGAACGTTTTAAAAATGGGTCTAAATCCTACTGGTAGTTCCAACTGCAGACCATTGGAATCAATGCGATTTACCTATGTATTGATTCACCATTCAGCAACTGATTCAATGGGTCTATTCTAGTTGATACGAGCAATAGGATTTAGTCCATGGTCTGATTTCATTTCCTATTGTAACAGTTCTCAATCCTAGAATCCCCAGACTCTCATGTTAAATTTTGGAGGGATGTTTTATAGTTGTTTGATGCAGGATAATCAAAGTTGTAAAAATAATCAAAAAGGGAGCTTAAAAGGTACCAGGAGGAGCTATTTCATAGACAGTACATATTTCTATACTTTTTGTGAGTAATATACTAATTGACCTATGTGGTAGAATTCAAAGATATAGCCGTGTTAGTCTGTAGAATCAGTATGTAGAGAGATCTCTACATCTGTGGAAGTAGAATGAAGTCTATGAAATCTCATGCTGCCAATTTCTTCAGTTAGTCTCATGGGTGCTACAATGTCTCTCTACATAATTGACTTATGGTACAGGATATTATTTTTCCTCCTTTTTCGGTCTTTTTTCTCTCGCATCTGTGTATTTTCCCTCTAATTTATTTTTGTCCTTTGCTGTTTTGTTGTTGTTGTTGTTAGCTGCCCCTTGACTCATGGCAAACTTGTGTACGAGACCAAGATCGTCTGTCCTCCACTGCTCTGCTTAGTTCTTGTAGATTCAGGCCCACGACCTTTCTAATTGAGTCCATCCATCTGGTGTGCAGTCTTCCTCTCTTTCTACTGCCTTTTAGCTTTCCTAGCATTATTGTCTTTTCTAATGAGCCATGCCTTGTTATGATACGGCCAAAGTACAACAGCCTCAGTTTCATCATCTTGACTTTCAGTGAGAGCTCTGGCTCGATCTGTTCCAAAGACCCATTTGTTTGTCTTTTTGGCCACAGCATCCTGAGCACTCTTCTCCTACACCACATCTTAAATTAGTTGATTTTTTTTTTCTTATCTGCTTTCTTCACTGCCCAGCTCGCAATCCATACATGGTGAGGGGGAATACAATGGCTTGGATGATTCTAACTTAAGTGCTCAGTTGTATATCTTTACTCTTTAGGATTCTGTCTAGTCCTTTCATGGCTGCCCTTCCCATCCCTAATCTTCTTCTGATTTCTTGACTGCAATCTTTATTCTGATGAAAATTTGATCCAAGGGGCATTAAACCTTTATTTCAATTTCCTTATTGTCTAGGTTAAATTTATCACAGTCCTCCAGTAACTATGTTTGCAGTCTGGGGGTGCTCCTTGACTTGTCGCTCCTGATGACAAATCAAGTTAATGCGACGGTCAGGAGTGCCTGTTATCAGCTTCGGCTGATACGCCAGCTGCGCCCTTTTCTGGAAGTAAGGGATCTCGAGACTGTTGTGCATGCGCTGGCAACCTCACACCTAGACTTCTGTAATGGGCTCTACATGGGGCTACCCTTATGTTGGTTCGGAAACTACAATTGGTTCAAAATATGGCAG